CAGCAGGAGAAAGCATTGCTTGCAATGGGCTCTCAGGGAGAGAGGAACCAGCCGGCTTTCAGATAAATAGGGCTTATAAAAATCTGATTAAATGCTTTCTTAATACTGGGCATTTTGTCACATGTGTCACTGTATTTCTTGAGGTGCAGTTTATATTAAAAAAAACCAACCTCTAGACATTTGATAATTTTCCCTTTAAAAAGAAGGAATCTGAAAGCTCTTTGCTGCTAATTATTGATGCTGAAAACAAACACTCATTTCTCATCCCAAGACTGAACATTTGACCTTATACTGCAAAGCCAAAACTGCCAATATTTGGGAAGAACTCCAGACCTGGATTTCAATTTCATGACTAACATCTGTCTTTCCAATAGAGTGGATTAAATCAATGCAACCAGTGTGATACATTTTAAATTACTCAAAGTTCAATTCATTTTATATGAGCGTATGTGCCATACATTGTGCTGTCAAAATAGGTCACTGGGCCAAGAGCTTAAAAATAATTTAAATAAAGGTTTAAAGAAATGAAAAAGGAAAATGACATAAATGTACATTACCATGAGACCTTCTTTAATGCTTTGAGGAGTAAAACTGCCATGAAGCTATGGAGTCAGGAAGAAATTTTGCTACTGGTGATCTCATTTTCAGCAGGGACACCCAGACACGATGTTGGCGCAGCAGAGGGGATTTGGCAAAGCACAGGAGCAGCTCAGACAGATGGGGTGGAGGGGGAAGCACTTTGTAGGCTGCCTTTGCAGATGAAGCGCAACCGTGCTTTCAGGCACCCCCAGCACCACGGCAGGCTGCAAAACCTACGTGAGATCAAATATTCAGGCAGTATGTCTTCACTGACCTCTCCTCCCCCTCTCCCTTCAACTGACTCCCATTGCTGAAACTTCAAGAGATGCACCAGAAGTCAGGGAAGCTGGAGATTTTATTGCACCCTGAATAAAAGACGGACCCTGGAGCCCATGCAGATTGCACCCCCTCTTGCCAAGGCCTAAGTCCTATGAAGTCCCCCCCAAGGTGTACAAGTAGGAAACCCTAATGTCACATGGAGTCTTTCACCTGGCTGCACATGACAGCACCACACTTGTCGGAAAGCCCCAGCGGGAGCAGGTCCCCTGCAGCCGAGCCCCCGAGCCACTCCTGCTCGGCCCCCTGCCCGGGGCTGTGCTTTGGCCACCCAGACCCCCATGGGGCTCACTTGCCATCCTCGCAGACAAGCA